ACAACAACACTTAATTATAAATGGCAGATCAATAGAATGACAACTTCACTTGAATTAATTACAGTATACACTGATACTTAATTGGTTCATTTCACAATTAAATGACGCCTCAAGCAGTAGTGACAGAAATCTTAGATAGCACCTAAAAGTACGATTTTCCACCTGCCTCCTCTTGCAAGGTTCTCAAAGCAGGTGAATAAAAGAAAATACACACTTCACATAGAAGATTCTTAAAATCAAAATGATAGCCTTGTATTCTTGGGATTCAACGGATTCCAAAACTTGTGGTAGCTTTCAAGTACTTGTTAGATTTCTGACATTCAACCTCTTCTCCAAGGCTGTGGTATTTTTATCACTGAAACAACTCCCGTGTTTTACATATTTGAAACCCCAACAACCTAGAAACTTTGAGATCACTTTCACTCTAAGACCTTGCCACACAGGAGAAAACCACACATTTAACCTTGTCGTTATAGAAAATCTGTCTATTTTACAAGTCTACCTTGCAGGAAAAAAATCTCAGCACACCCATTACTTCGTTCTCTAATTCAATCTGTGGCCCACAATAAGTACACATCCCCGTGACCTCTTACCAAACTGACATTTTATAAACAACAATTTTCATAGACGTGTCTTGTTAATAAAACATGAAAAAGACGATAAATAAATGGGTAATCAAACCTATCTTGTTTTTCTAATGCTAAAATAAATGACCTTCCATGATCTGACAATTCATTTCATCTGTTACCCTGAGTTTTGTCTTCTTGCTATGTTAAATCTCTACTCCCAGCCCTATCGCCATACTACCATGGCTACATCCCTGTCCAACGCATCAACAGCACTAAATCTCCCTGTTTAATTCCAGCTGATTTCTTAAAATATCCAATACACAGACGAGACACTGGGCTGGGGCTGGCGTGCGCCTTAAATAACTCACTTAAGAATTAATGACAACCTCCATCCAAATATTTGTGCTGCAGGGCAGTTTCTGGATTAAAATCCCTTAAAATATTGGCAACTTTGATGATAACCAATGGTCACCTAAATCAGTGGACACTCACTCCAGTGGCTGATCTAGTGGACCATGAACATCAGAACTGATGCAGAAAAGGCAACCAAATGTCAATTAAACATTCCAGGTTGTTGTCCATGTTAACAAAGTCCTTTTTGACTAGGACTAAGATTTACAGAAATGTCCATATTCTATATTCTGTTACCTTGTATCTTTTTTTTTCTTTTACAGAGGCTCTTTTAAAACCAATGTATAAGGAGCCATTACAGTCACTCCAAAAGGATCAAAAGCAAGTTTCATTTGAGAAACTGTCACCGTTTCATCATCAGGTTCTATATCTCAGTTTTAGATTTTCAGATTTCATTTCTCCTTTTTTTCTCCAGATTTTCTTTCTCAATCCTATCCTCATATCCTTTCCCTCAGTTTTATCCTCAGAGCCTATTCCACAGTTTTATCCCTAGGTTCTGTTCCTCAAATTCCTTCCCTTACTTTCATCCCTTGAAATATTATCCTCGGATTCCGTACTCCTCGTCCTCAGATTGTAATTGAAAACTTCCAATTCCAACTTGCATATAAATGAAAAGTCCTCCTCAATTGCAGTTCTGGATCAGATAAGCTGTCATTAGTTTCAGCTTCAGCACAGTTAAGTTGTCATTTGTATCAAAAATGTCTTCATTTTCCACAGTCATCACTTTCAGCTCCATCAACTTCAAAGACATCAATTTCAGACTCTTCTGAGGCGTAAAAAATGTCNCCCCCCCCCCCCCAAAAAAAAAAAAAAACCTAAACTTGAATATTTCCTCAGCTGTGTACAAAGCCTCTGTTGATTTACTTATTAACATCTTTCTTAACTGTATCATTCCGTAAGAAACTATCTTCTCTATATACAACTATCTCATAATGTCATTAGGAGAACAACTGAAAATAACTACAAAAAATCAGGCATCCACGATGTACATCTTTACATCTACAATATACCCACAACTTGCCACAATTCTCGTAAATATTCTTTTTCAGTCTCCCAACTCCAGTTCCACCAGGAATTCTCCTATATATATACTGTAGTGCACTATACAACACTGGTCTGCCTACCACACAGCAGTTGTTACTATAAGATCCTCCACACACTAGAGTTCTACAAGGAAACTACATCCTCTGTGCTGCATCACCAGACCTTTCTCTCCCTCCCATCCAGTTGTTATTGCGATTCTCTGCAGTTGTTATGATCCAGAGGTACCAACAAGCTGGTGTGATGCAGGCGGTTGGTCAAATAGGCAAGAATATTGGTCAAATCATCAGTGCTCAGGTGCAGGCTGGGCCGCCTCTTGTTGATCTTCCCAGAAGTTGTCAGCGGGGTCTTAAAGATCTATTGAGCAGACCCTTCCCCCAGCATCATCCATGTGCGTCCGTTCACACTTCAAAGATTCTCCTTACTGTACTGAAAACAGCAGACGTTCTGATGAATTTTACTGAAAATCACCACTTTATCTCTTTTAGGGTTCTAACTTAGCTTTCCCCAAACTTTAAACATTTTACTCTTCAAACCTGCAATATTTTCACGTTTCACCAATTGTTTAACTTCATGGCCCTACTCAGGTATAAGAGTAGGGGTGGCATTTTATATCCTCTCTAGGGCCTCAGTGTAACAGCACAGCTAAAACTACCATGCCCTGGATACTGGATATGCATGACCATCCACAGCCTTTTAATAAGGCAGGGAGGAAAATCAATCATTTTCTTATTCTGGAGGCCAGTGCTCTTGCTGCGTATCCAACCTCTAGGTAGTTGGGTGATGTTTGATGAAATGTTAAGTTTAAATCCACATTTCCAATGTTCTTGGCTTCTTGGGGCCAAATCCTTGTTGACTGCTTCATTACAGTATATGGTATCAGTGGAGTAATGTAAACTGACATTTTACCAAACAAGTGTATGTGTGTGTATTTTTGCGCATGCATATGCAGGCACTAATGCTCGTGGGCATTTAAAGTATGTGTGTGCATACATGCTACGACAAGAACACACATATTCTAGTTTATGTGCCTAGTTAAATGCCTTATGCACTCTTCAAACCAAATGTGAAGATGACATTCCATGTTATTGCTTACTGATCCAACATTTCTTATTGCAGGCCATACTGGATCTGTACTTTAATCTATTGGTTTCTGAAATCGCTCCTGCAGAGCTGCTTGCTGTGAGGTTTCTGAGGAATATTTCTATCAAGATTGATGATTGCTTTCTTGGTGAAATATTTTCTTTGATCAATAAGTTCACTTTCCCTCTCAACATGTGGTGTGAAAAAATTAGTGTTGCTTTTATTTTTTATCTGCTATTTTGTCTCCATAATACTGGTGTCAAACTCATGTTCAGTGCCTTAATCTGATAAACAAGCATAAACTCATGAAAACCAAACAGTTTTTCCCCTCGAACAGCTCTCTTTCCTCATATATTTTCCATTTTCTTGTTTGTGCGTCATGCCATATCAAAACCAGAAGTCTGATCTTTGCTCCCTCCTTCAAGAAGTTGATTCAACACCAAAGAAATGATCTCACAGAAACAACAGGCAAATATTGTTGTTTCCTCATTGAGGGACAAGGACATGGAATAAATCTCCACCTTTTCCAACCTTTGGCTCTTACTTTCCTTTCCATAACAGTCCTATTTCCGTGCTTGTTTTTGTATAATCAAACCCAATCAACCAAGCTTGCTTTTATTTGTAACCTATTGCTACAAGACCCAAATATGTTTCTATCTTTAAATATTCTACATGATTTTCAGGAAGTTGGAATACACCCATGGGGATATTTTTCTTTCATCTTTTTAAAGATGGCAGACAATGTAATGATATCCATAATTGAAAATAACATATCCAGAAACCGTATCATGTTTAGGAACAACTTAAAAATGTCAGATATGATTCTGAAGTGACCTTTGGGATACATTTTCCAATATGCATCATTAATTCAACTGTTTTTTAAACATCTCTTTGCTATCTATCCTTCAATAGAACCATAAACAAACAATATTAATATTCTATCACATCTCCAATCTGCAGTCTCTTTCTCCCTGTATCTCCCAACACAAACAATTTGTCCTAGCTGTGACATAAATAACCATAAAATAGTTTACAAGATGAATCGGCCATTTCCTTTCCTCTTTTTTAACTAAAACCAGGTGTGCTGCCATGTTGAAAAACACAAATTCTAACGCTCAATTCAGACCAGGTCATTTTGGATTAGAAACCAGCACAAATTGTGTCCGAAGACTAATTTAATTGATATTCTCAGACATTCAGGATAGCATAAAGTGGTCCAAGTCCACACGGACTTTGAAATAAAGACACCCAATGTACAATAATGGTGGTAATCTAAGTAAATTCCGGTTCTGCACCACCTAACCCGTTTTTACTGATTGGATATGATGGAGATGATCTTTCAGAGACAGATTTTATGAGGCTTTCCTCGCCCAGTGATCTCCTCTAATTAACGTCAGAGAAGAGTTGAGGCTGTGGGAGGCTCCTTCTCTCTCTCTTTCTCTCTCTTTCGAGCGTTTCTGCCGAGAAGCATAAAAGGGAGGTAGCTAAGAATACAGCTATTATTGGTTTTGCAGAATACAAATTGTGAAATAACTTTTTTTAGTATTCTGTAATAAAATTTAGATATGACTCTGTGAATGTACTTCTTATTTGTAAAAATCCCAATATCACTTCACTTTAAAGAGCAAACATGAAATGTCAAGGTGATTTATAAGTACTGCATTTTTATGTGTGCCACAATGCTCCAGGTACAAAAACGATTGTCATTTTAATTGCAATGTTTTAGGTACAGAATGTCAGACATCTTTGAAAGAAAGTGCTGCAAGGCCTGCCAAAATTTTCCTTTGCATTTCCACATGGTCACACTTTTTATTTTTTCAAAGGGAAGAAAACCACATTCAGTGGTATGAAAAGTACACCTGATTGTGAACAACATTTTTCTTTCCAAAGTAAAACCTACAGCCATCCATTAAAATCACTCCAATCCTGACCATCTGCTATTTTTCTATCAAACAGGCTAAGTTGGCTGCCATCGAGCACAAACTCATTTCCTCTGGCCTAGTGGAAAGAAGTGGTCTTATAAAAACCAATTTGCCCATGTTTTGATTACAAAACAAGTGACCACGCGGAGATAACTGGGAACCATATCACGCAGTTAGCTATCATAATAACCTTCAGCGTCTCAAAATAGTACCATGTTAAGTTGTTTTCCCTTTTCATTACAAAAAAAAAAGAAAGAGATGAAGAAAAAAGTCTCAACTGTCAGACATGCTTGGCCTGAAGTAAAATACATGGCAAAAAAGGGTCTGTTTTAGCCCTACCCCCATCAGAAAAGACCAGAAGTGAAAAAGAGGCTGATGTATCTAGAATCAGGAGAATACTGTCCACCATTTTTTTAAAATCATTTTTTATGCTCCATATCATCCAAATAACACAGCAATACCAAAGATGGTTTGAATTTTAATATGCTGGGATTCATGCCATCGTATCCAAAATTTGGAAACAAGGTGGTACAATTTTCATACAAAACAATGACTCCAAGATTTCTGACAATGCATCAGGAAACTGTCCACCATTTTGGTTTTCTTGCAAGGTGTTCCTGATCTTCAGCATAAAATGTCCATACAGGTCATCTCTCATCATAAGTAGATATACATAATCCGCAATGACATCATCACAACAGAATCAATTCATACAAACGGTATATGGTCAATGTCAAACAATTGTAGCACAAACAAGTAACACTCACCTTGGCCTCTTCAGTGCACCTTGAATTAGAGCAGTTACAGCCTAGTATGTACATTATGCTGGTAGAAACTGACATCACTCCACCATCTACAGCACAGGGTGATAATACAATACAGGTTGTCATGGGGAAGTGGTTACAGAACAGAGCTGTTGTTGCCAGGAATACGCTGGTCAGAATAAAGGTTGCCATGTGAATGTGGTTACAGGGCACAACACAAGTGTTTACATCTACGAGGTATATTCGCTGAAAAGTGGACAGATAAATACCCATGCTCTTTCTCTCTCTCACACCAATATCCAGAAATACATGTGAAGCGCGCGCACACGCACACAGCTACTCCAAGGATGCAAAATTAAAATTTTAGTAAATCTTCTCAACATCAGTCACACTCAGATGGTCAGTTATCTGCTTTAAGTCCTCCTGAAATCGTTTGCAAATAAATCAACAGAACAGGTTTTGTTTTTCATTCACGGCAAAAGAGAAAAGCAACATGGAGGAGAAAAATCAGCTATCCTTGACTGGTGGTGAGACGGCTGCTTCCTCGTCTGCTTCTGGGTATGTTGATTGTGTGTGATTGCAATTTGGTGTATAGTCAACTCCCAAGAGATCAATACAACAAATGGTCAACATAGGAATGTGCAATACTTCTGCATGTGAAAAAATTTTACTTGATATATCGGCATATAAAATACAAGAAAAAAAATTAATTTCGGATACAATATCCTCTAAAATGTACAAAATTTATAAATGCCAAATATCATCTCTTTTTCTTGGCTTAAAATAGTGCCACAGAAATACAGAAATATACCACATTGCATAGCTGATGCCAGATAAAGAAGTCAGAGCAGTACTCACTCTGCTGATAGGGGGCATACGATGTTTCCGTTTCCGCCGCCGATGACGACCATATTTTGATGACCTACTTGTAGCATCTGTCATTGATGAGAACCTGCACAAAAAAAGGAGAGAGAAAAAAATTGTCAATGTCAGAAAAGTGCAATGTTGTTCCTTTTTAAATTCAAATCGAATGCAAGATTTTTCTGTTAGATAAACATTTTTCTCCATCAAACCCTGTCTAAATTATGTTAAGAAGTATGTTACTTAAGAAGTTAAAGTTTTTTATTTTACCAGAACACCAAAATAACTCACCTGCTTGAAGCATCGTCTTCAGAATCGAAAAAGCTAGTGGTTTCTATATCACTTGTGATGACTGACGACGACGTCTCATAACCATGGCCTCCGCCTCGATGACGCTCGTGCTTATTGTGTCCATTTGTAACTCTTGTGACTGAAAAGAATAGAAAACGATACTGGATAAGAATTCAGCGCCAACTGACAAAACATGGGAAGTGAAAGAATTCAGAAAATAAAAAGCATTGCGTTTTGTGATCTTCGATGTGTGTGAAAAAATTCAGGAAAAAATTCTGTTTAAATTCAGTATTGATTAATGACCATGTGAGGGTTGAAATATACAGCAGTTTGCTTCTAATATATTTTCTAGTCCAGTGAAGCTTGTTACAGCATTGATTTTCTTTGAGAAATAATGTAAATTTCATGCATTTCATGATTTGCATTTGTATTGCAAAAGGAACCACAGTGAGGGTCAGGGCTATCAAATACAAAAAATATATTCCTCCCACTGAAAAACAGAAAAATGCTCACTTTATTTAATTTTTAGTACATGAAAACACAAGACTTTTTTCTTTCCTTTTTTATTTAGCTTCTCTGAAATCATTGAACTCTTAAGTCAGCTACTCCTTCATCACAGAGTTGCTACTGTTTACTTCACTTTTTTTTCAAAATCTATCTTATCAAAGAAAAAAGACAAAGCAAGAAAGAAAGCTGAGACCATATGTTGAAAACGCCCACAGCGGCCATACATAAGCACCTATCTGGCCACATTGTAACAACACTGTGTTTATGGATATCAATCCCTGAACCACCACAGCCCCGAGGGGGAATTCAATCCCAATTAGTTAAAAGGTCCCTCTGCTCCCTATAGGGGATATCGCATCATCTAATGGAATAGAAGGATGTATCAAGTTTGATCGGAGGAATTACAACAAGAATCATTCACGATTCCCTAGCTGAAGTTATAATCTATAGATTTTCTGACAGAATTGGCAGTTCAAGTGTAGCAAGAAGAACAGGTTTCTCTGGGAGTATTATTATGAAGGATGCATCAAAAGTTGAGAAATTGGTTGGTTGGTTTCAGTCAATCTAACTGGAAAACCTTGGTTGTGACAATCTTACCAGAAAAAATAAGGTTTCTTTTGGCTTACATTTATGCAACACAAAATATTCGCAAGCAGTTCTTTTGTATGAAAGATTTCTTCAGCCATTTATTTCAAGAATACTGGGGAAAAATCACTTCATAGAGCAAAAGGAAATATATTTCTTTTTTTGTTTTTTTCAATTAGTGTCATTTTTTTCCAACTGCCATAAAACAAGTAAGATAAACAGAAACCAAGCTTTGAAGGGAACTGATTGATTCTTCCTTCTTTTTTATAATTTGGAAGAAAAAATTATGGTAGACAAAACAAAATGTGTAGCTGAACTTGGGTCACCAACATGGTCAACCACTGCAGTTTATAAAGAGAGAATTTATCTGGACTGTAGGCAAAAGGAGAGGGTGGTAGAGACATTGACAGGGTTATCCCAAAGAATTGCCCTTTTGGCCAGAAAAGGTCTGCTCTGGATGAAAATCTGAACTTGGTTCTATGCCATTTTTAAAGTTGGGTCAACTAAGACGGTGAAAAGGTCCACTTTTTCACAAAAAGGAGCCCCACCCCAAAATTGCCGGCTACACATCTGTTGCTCCTTTCCACTCAACACCGCCAAGCATACCCCCCACCAGGAAACCAATTCTCCGTAAAAAAATAATCAACTCCAAACTTTTGATCTGGCTCTAGCATCTAAGACCACAACTTGAAAAACGATTAATGCGCTCTTAGTGTCTCATTATTTAAGACCAGAGTGGCGGTAACTCAAGATCAAAGTTTGTACATTTTTCAGAGTGTTTCAATTCCAAATTTTTTTCTCCTATGGTCACTTGTAGGATGTCAATGCTACAGATGTTCAATTGGCTTGTAAGCGTGCTTTGGTTAAGTTAACAAATGAAATACACTGGTCTCTTTTCCCATACTTTACAATGTACTCAATTTAATTTTTTAAAAGCATGCAGATTAAATTTCAGCATAATAATTTAACTTTGGAAATCAAAGTGTGATAGGCTTGCACATTAGTATATGTATTAAAGTACATGTGAAAACACTCAGGCACATACACACATGTTGAATTGATCAATTGCAGCAGTTGAGACACCAATGTAAAGAGAATATGCATCACAACTACTGCAATCAAACTGTTGGCAGTTATCAGTTCTACAGAGTCTGCTGTTTGTAATTTTGTGGTGATATGTTTCCATTTACTGCGCTATGTGGTAATTGCTATTGTTCTCATAATGTCAGTTGTCACTGTAACTAAGGTAGGTTGTCACAGTTACTGTATGCTATGCTCGTTAGGTAAACTGCTACTGACAGTGTTCACTACATGCTGTCACACTGTTTACAATGTATGTTGTCTCTGATATTGTATACTGTTCTCTCTATGTAAGTAGTCATTGTATTCACAATGACAATTGTTGTTGTTGCTATAATTGCATATACTCTACTCAGGTAGATATTACAGTGTATTCCACTTTGTATTATTATCATTGCTCAGTCTAGATTCTCCAAGATGAGTAATAAACTGAATTGAAGTTGTTCTTGTGTAGTGTACTCATTATGTAAGTTTAGTTGTCATTGTTATTGTATACTGTACTCACAATGTAAGTTGTCATTGTCAGTGTATAATGTACTCACTATGAAAGTTGTCATTGTTATTGTATACTGTACTCACTATGTAGTAAGTTGTCATTGTTATTGTATACTGTACTCACTATGTAGTAAGTTGTCATTGTTATTGTATGCTGTACTCACTATGTAAGTTGTCATTGTTTGGCCGAGTGTCTCTGGGATGAGTTATAGACTGTCTGGATGAAGAACGCACTTGCTGATTTTGACGATCTAAAATGCAACAAAGGTGAAACAAAACTGAAAACACTTAAAAAGCACATGCACCATGCCCAAAAACAACTTAAATCAGCCAGGCATATTCAAAACAAATTACCGTTCTTTAAAAGAAAAGTAAAATGCACACAGTGCACTTTTATAAGATACAATTAAGAATAAAAACTGGTACAACATTGAGACAACAATTTAAATTCACATTTTTTTCAAAATTCATGCACATGAATAAGCAGTTTAAAATTATTCAATTTATAAATTCAGTGTACAGTTTAGATTAAAACAAAACATTCTGGGATAACATGGGTCAGACAATTAAATCAAACACACACAGGCGTAAACATAAATATGCCCACACAAACACAGTCACAAACATGCACAAAAATCTTCAAAAAGTAAAAAGACACACCCACAACTGCTCTCCCTCTCTTTTACTTACTGGCATCTCTTTCCTTCTTCCCCCCTCACCTCTCTCTCTCTCTCTCTCTCTCTCTCTCTCTCTACCCGTCTTCTCTTTTAACAGACACAAAGTTTCAAAACCACTCAAACCTCAATTAAAATTGGATGCCTTGCTCCCTTTCCCACTTCATACCATTTTCTTTTTCCACTCTACTCACCTTTGATAAGCCTCAGTGCGTTCCCAAACATCACTCCTAAAGGCATTGTACTTCAACCAAAGACTTTTCTCTTAATTTTTCTCTTAATATACAAGTATAACTTTCTTATAACAACTTTACTAACAGTTCAAGTTAAACTCTATTCATGTAATATCTTGTAAACTCTCCTCAAACATATTGATATTCCTCATCAATTCCCATTTCATCAGTATCCAGAGGTAAATATCTCCCCCAATGTGTCAATTTCACAATCCTAGAATTTGTAAATTTCACGATAATCCTCGTCAATTACAGCAAACATCGTCAATTACAGCAGACATGTAGGTTTCACAGCCAGTGTCTGGTAGAAATGTCCCACCTGTCTACCTCCCGCGAATTGTGTCCTGGTCCAAGACTGCACCGAACCACTTATGTACCCTCTCAAACAGGTGAGAAAATAGATTTGTTGGATTTGTTAACATTCAGTTTGAAGAATATTCATTTTCTTTGTGGGGATCCTACTGACTATTTAGTCTAAATTTCATCTTGACTTGTTCACAACTGAAGTTCATGCCAATCTCCAAACAGAAACTTTCAATTATACTAATAAGTCTTATTATTATTTATGATCAAAAGGACCATCTTATAATAACAATCATTATTCAAGCCACTTTATATTTTTTCAAATAGACAATTAAAGAGAAGGTAAAAGGAGCATTCTCTGATCCTTGCTAAAGGCCTTGCACATTTCATTATAACTATTATTATTTTTTTTTTTGACAAAATACTTATTTCAAAACCCTTTAATTTAAAATAGCCCCCTTCTACATCTGTTTGGGACCCCTGTAGCAAGAGGCTCCATGCACCTTCACAAACTATTGGCAACAATTTCCCCATTACCCCCACACAAAGCCAGTTAGGTCAATATTTTGATTTTCTCCCCATGTCTGAAAGGTACGGAATCGATTGATTTCCCATTATTCCTAGCACCTCCTAATAACTACGGCGACCTGGTTCATTCCTCATTTGTAAGCCCCAGTTCGAAGAGATTAACATCATTGATTTTATTTGTTTGCAGTTGTTGACTTTGATTGGGACAAACAATAGGAAGGAAGGTATAATAAATTGAGCTTGCCCTCAGACAAAATTGGGCATTTATTGGAGAGCACTTATTGGCCAGTAAACATCAGTTTCCACCTTTTTGTTTGTGGTGTGCTTGAAAATGAGGTACAAATGAAACATTTCTGAAAATATTCTGATTGCATCATTATTGTATAACACTTAATTCCAGAATTGAAAACTCAGGTTACAAATGATTCAATTTCAAGGAGTGGAGATGGTGGGATTAGGGACGGGAAAGATAGAAGGGGGCTGGATGGCGGGAGGGAGGCTGTAAGGCACAGGCTGTTTTTCGAAATCTCACCAAAGTTTCCAAATATTGTTGCAGTAATTCGTCCAGACTCGAGCCCACTTTCCTCCATTCCCACATTTTTACAAAGCACACAGCCATTTAAATCCCATCCCATGGCCCTGTTATTTTACCCTTAGAAATTCACAAGCTCAGGTATGCCGCCTTGTTTTCTTTTCATTGAGCCCAGCATTTATATCAAACAGAGAGAATTCTCAATGGCCGGATTTGAGGAAAATAATCAAGCAGGAGAAATTAATAACCCAGAGCAAATGACCATGAACCCTGCGTCTGTCCAGCTGGTCAGTTTATTTAATGAATGTGTACGTTGGACATATTACGGGGTGATGGAAATATTTGGGGATGGGGGGGGGAGTGTTTGGGGTGGAGGTGGGGGGCTGACTGGACAAGAACGATAGCTATGAAACCATTTTTTCTTATGTTTCAGAAGACTAAACCACAGTTGTAATATTAAACCAAAATGACATGACATCCCATATTACGTGATGAGTTACTATCATGAATGAACCATGATTTACGTTGAAATGGTTAAAGCAAGTTCATCTTAAAGCATCCTGAAAGGTGAATATTGTCTAAAATTCATCTTATCTCTTCAATCTTACTCTGCATCTTGCTTTTTTATCTATTACATTAATATCACTCCGACTTCATTCAGCCCTCAACTACTGGTTTTCCACCATACCACATCATACCATACTTACCCTTTTCATTATAGCCAATTATGTTGATAGAGTATCTAAGCATTCATTATGGACAGTTAAAAGCTTTGAAGTTTCCCAAACTGATGTCAAATACAAACCCTGACTTGTTTGAATCCAAACTTACCATATTTTAAAACAGAGGAAAAAACATAAAACTGTAATAAAATCCCTCAGGGAAATGTTCATAAAAGTGCAATGTCTGGGTGTACTTGTATAACATGTGAGCCAATTTTTTACAAGAGCCTTGCTTGAAAATGTGATGATGATTGCGCAAAAGCAAGGCTGTATCAGATCGTACGTGTCTGCAAATGTAACTGCGTATGTTTGCATTTGCACGTAATTGTAAATGTTAATGCATTCTGATTGCCATAAGCTTACACTGCTTTCCTTTAGTCTGGTGACAAAACTGTTAATTTTGACTTGCATGTATGCATTTCTGTGTGTGTGCGTGCGTGCGTGCGTGCGTGCATGCATGCATGTTCGTGTATGGTCACATATGTACCATAGACATCATCACTCACAAGCCTCATACTGTACAATCACTTCATTGTCTATAGATTACCAAAACTTTTGTTAATCTGTGCGTGTGCATGTGTGTGTGTGTGTGCGTGCTGACATATCTACCTTCACATTGGCACAGACTGCAGCATTCACAAGTCTTGAGCACCTGTACCGTCATCCCCTTGTCTGGTGACACTGTTGTCAACACCTGTATTCTCACCATGTTGTCAAACGGTGTGTGACAATCCCAGCGAAGCTCAAACATTAGGAAAATGACCAAGCTCTCCTGGTTGACATCCAAAGCTGGTTATTTCTCAATGTCATGCGAGAAGTGCCACGACCATGGTGGTGTTTTGGAGGCTTTCTGGAGTAACTAACTTAATTTTTGAAGTTTAACTTCTCACAAGTGTTATAGTATTCTCCAATGTTGTATGAGATATACAAGCATCTGTACCAGCAGCAAGGATGAAAATTGGTAAGACTTCCTGTTTGATTTGCTGATAGAGTAAGCTCTGTTGCTCCTTGAATGACTTTGCTGCTTGCAAATCCAACTCTGCTGCTTTAGAAAATCTGCTTATTTCCTTTTTCAGATTTCAACTTGTGATCCACTGCATTTTTTTTTTTTTTTGTCAATTTTTTTCTTGAACTACTCAGATTCCAATCAACATCCAGATTGCCAATCAGCAGATTTCCCAAGTGAGGTTTTGATCCGTGCAGGCCCCAACAGATTCATAATTTATTCAACATTAACAAGATTTCTTCCACCTTGATGTTTGTTAAAAAAGAAAAGAAAAAGAGCATGTCACACATGCACGTTCATTCCACCCACGTTTAATAAATCAGGGATGAATATTCCAACAAAAACATTTCACTCCTGCTGCAACATTTGAACTGTGTGTGTGCAGTTGTTATTTCAGAGAGCTCCGTGGTACCCCTTCAATGTGAACCGTTTCCCACACAGACTGAGGTCGCCTTTAGCGGTGTATTGCCTCATGTCTCATAACACCGATTCCCTTGTTTTTACAGCTGAAAAAGTTTGATACATTAGACCAGTGCAATCAGAAGGCTGTAAGCAAAGAAAAAGGGCAATTTCCTCTTGGCTTGTTAAATAAAATGAAATGTTGACTGTATTAAAACTGAAGACAACATATATGGCATATGGTGTAGAAAGTATATGGTGTAAATAGCTACAACTCATTGTATTACAGTACCTATCTATATCAGATCTGTATCTTTTTCATCAGATTTGTCTGTAAAGTTACTGAATACTATATAATGTATGAATCACTGTTTCAGTGGTATATTTGACAATAATAAAGCTTATGTTTAACTTAATGGCAATGGATCCCTGCTCAAAGTTTCATTTTCCTTTCCCTCATTTAAAATAACTGTCACCACGAAAGACTCAGAACTTACAACCATTGTTGATAGACTAACAAAAGTGGTTAATAGTAGTAATTTGTTAAGTACAATACTAGCTTATTACTTTCCTTACATTGCAATTTACTGTTTATACTTTCTGTAAGAGGGCAATGATAATAACATTGTGAATTAGACACTGAAAATGGTGAATTTTTTGAATATGTAATTATCTTTGTCTGCCCCTAGTTCCCCTTACGTATTATTATTACATTCTAATATACTATTTAGTTGTCCACCTACTTTATTTGTCTTATAAATGCAATTACCTTCTCCGACAACCAAAATACCAAGCAACTGCTTTTTTCCCTTTCCTCCAAAAACACAAAGCACCCCCTGTTCAAGATAATACCA